CATAGAAAGTAGATACCAGCCCATGGCTCCAAGAGGGTGCTGGGAGGAGTTTGGTTCTTTCCATCTCCTAGTGGGCCTAATTTGTAAAGATCCCTTTACCTGCAAATGGTAGTGCTGCACCAAAGTCTTACCTCATGGGCAAGGCATCACACTTATAGTCAAAAGACCCTAAGCCCAGTCCTAAGTTTAGGACCTTGTATGAAATCATGAGTGTTACCTGGAATTATTTTCTCCTTTGTGAATCAAGATTGTTTACTTAGTTATCTTTTTATTCAGCTGGTATATAAACACTTACTATTGTGCAAGGAACTGGGCAGCAAATACAGAACTGCTGACTTGGAGGAGGTCATTGTCCATGGAAAGAGCTGTTGCAGCACTCTTCGGAATCTCAAATATTAGAACAACATGCGTGACTTTCCTTTATGATCTCCGAAATACCATACAAATTCAAGAGGTTCTGACAACCAAGGGCAGCAAGCTAAGGCTAAAAGTTCAACTACAAACATTTGTTAGGTTGCATATGAGAATAAAATAGAAGACAAGGATGGTCAGCCCTTGCTTATTCACAGATTGGCTAGAATTTGTGATTATCGATGCCCTTTGATTCTGCTCCTTCCAACTACCAACCGTTGAACATTTCTCTGCTCAGTAACACCTGGCTAGGAGCGGAAAGATGAAATGCTAATCAGCCAATCTGGCTAATTGTTAGCTGCTATGATCATTTTTATTTTATTTTTCTTGAAGCTGAGGTAAGGAAAAGCTGAAATCTTTTACTAAAATGTGGGCTGTGGATTTCTAAACGTTGTATCACCTTTCTTTTATTGCATGAATAAATCCCAATACTTTGCTTTTAGTAAGATATAAAAGTGAACAAAAAATCTAGGAATTCATCTGTTCTCAAGTATCAATATAACTTCGTATTACATATTTCTTATTCACTAGTGTTTGGAAAAGTCTTAATCTCCTACAGGGAAGCTTCAGGACTTAATAGTTGCAACTTGAAGTGTTGCCCTATATAAATAACTACACGGGCTAAGTGGATTTAGACTCACAGGGAATCAAGGTGGAGAAAATGACTTAAGACTACCCTCCCTTTTGCCTCTGCTAGACGTTACAGGACCCTCCCCACACCAAATAAGGGAAAGAGGAATGTTCTGAGCATTAAGGGCACTAAGAATAAATCTGAGCTATCATGGATAAGATTACTTTTGAATCTTTATTTCATGTTTTCTGACATAGACCCCAAGATCTGTAATTATCTTAAGAAAACTGTAAGGGCTTAGTCAGTACTTTTTAGTTCCTTTGCCTTTTTTCTCTCTTTCTTTTTTTATTGCCTATCTCTCTTTGGGGCTGGAGAGCTGGTGTGTGTGTGTGTATGTGTGTGTGTGTGTGTGTTTCCCTAGTGCCAAAAAAAAAGTGCTGAAGAGTCCTGGGGAGATGAGGCTATTTTTATTCGAAGCTGATACTTCTGCCTGAGCCACAAGTGTTGCTTGGAAAGGGCTCAGGTTGTTTCCAGGGGGAGAACTCTGCAGAGAAGAGACAAGTTCAAGAAGACAACAAAGGAGCAGCAGGAACAGCCAGGAAAACGAAGAGCCCTCACTTTTCACCCAGAACCCCCCCAGCAGAGTTCTTGAATCCTAAAGTATTCTGCAGAGTGCCGCTTGACCGGAACTTCTGGCTGCCTTTCCCCTCTGGAACCACCATGACTGAGATCACTGCTGAAGGTACTGCTACCGTTTTCCGGGAGTATCAACTAGATTAAAAAGGTGGAGATTGACGGTCACATTGACGGTCAATGTGTTGACTTAAAATGTTGCTTTTAGGTCATTGTCTTGAACAAGTTCTATAGGGGATCAGAGAAGTAGATCTGGGAGCTGAGAGGCAGACAGACCCATGTACTGGGGGAGTGAGAAGAGGTTTCTCAGAAAATTTGCATGTGGAAACTTTTTTGCTATGCCAGAGGCTCCACTAGTTACGTGTGTCACCCACACTTCTATAAATAGCTGTGGTCATGTAGCATGGCTGGTATCTTACCTAGCAAAAATACAAGGCTTGCAAGGATGGAGGCCACAATGAACTTAAAATTTTGCATTTCATGTTTAAACTTAGAAAAATGATCTGGAGCATTTTGCCTAATGATATTTTAAAATGGAGATCTTAAATTTATTTTTCCTTTTTAACTGGAATATATAAATACATGCGCATGTAGATTTGTATACAATTTGAGACATAAGTCCTCCCACCAAATTTGCTTATATTTTACTACTGGTAAAAATTCAGAGTGAAGGTTTGGAATTGCAGAAAATCACTGTAGAGTGACGTGATTTTCAAAATAAAGCAATTTAAAGGTGGCTGTATTCTGATTCTTTTTACACGCTCATGCTTCTTTACCCCCCAAATGATGAATTCTATCTTTATATTAAAACAAATATTTTCTGTTTCAATGCTTATTCTGAAAAGGTACATGCTATAAGTAAAGCATATAATTTTTATTATTTCACCATCATAGTAATTGTTTTACATATATATTATATGTAAAATATATGCTTAGATATAAATTTATAGATATATATTATATATAATTATATATATATTTCTTAAAGTAAAAATACCCTTTAAAACAACTAAAGCATGTTGAAAACAGACACAATCTGATTCTAGTTGGGGTAAAAATTTGGGAGGTGGATCTAAAATTTGCTTCTGACAGCTGTAAGAAAATTAGACAGGTGGTGCTCTCCAAGGCTTCCAAGTTGAGTGCTGTGCTGGTTTGTTTTTAACCAGACAACTGAAAAATAGAACGTGAGGTTTGGCTTTGTGGGTAGACATTACTATGGACACACAGTGATTTCAGAGTTGGAGGTTTTCTATATTTATAAGGAGAAATGTCTTACTTGTACTTTCCATTGAGACATTTAGTCTGACATCCCAAATTAACAAAAACAATTACTGAGAGATTTCTACGTGTATCAGGTATTTTGCTCAGGACTTTATGTGCGTTTACTTATTTAAACCTCACACAATTCAATTAAGTCAGCATTATTATCTCCATTTGGCAGAAATAGAGACTGTAGCTCGGATGTTCGGCAACTTGTTCAAGACCACAGTATTGCCAAGATTAGAAGTGAGCTCCCTGAAATCTAGTTTGTGTTTTCTCTTTTCTGTAAGACGATATCAGGCTTACTCTTCACCAATTTTAGTTGAGAATTTGCTAACTAACTAAACAGAAACAGGACTTTTTTCTATTCCTTAGAAATTCTGAGTCATGTGGCCTTTAGTTTGTCCTAAAGAGTGCTATGTATAAAAACTTTTGCTTAGCCCTGCACGAGTTACTAAGATACCTATGAATATATTTCTCCACCTCTGCACAGGACTTCCAGCTGATTCAGGAGGTCAGTTGGCCAAAACATTTTTGGCTTGACTGTAGATTATGCTCTGTAGACCTTTGTACTTAATGCATAAAACATTTACAGGAGAATTCCTAAATGTGAAACAGAACTTTTGTTTCTGTGTTATCCCCATACGAGAGTTTAAAGTGTTCCTGGAAGACCTCCTGGAGTCATCCATTAAAAATCATTGAATTAGTAATAAATTAAAAACGCCACCTAGTTCCTGGGTGATGGTCATTTCCTACTCCCTGGCCTTAATAGTTCATAGGATCTATATCATCTGAACATCAATTATGTGCTCTTATCATTTTTTTGGAATGATTTATTAATCATATTTCTCAAATGATAATTAGACTGCCAGATCAAGTGAGCCTAACTTTTAAGGTTAGTACCACAGTCATTCTCAGTGGGGATCTAAAGTTTCTTGCATGCTGCTCTACTATACACTTTTCATTTTGTCTTCATGATTCTCACTTTTTGTGTCTCATCTAGCCTTCTTTTAGAAGTGTACTTTTGTAGAGGGCCTTGGTCCAGCCTGGACTATTCTTTCCTCTCATCTGCTATATTTCTTCTGCACCACTTTTGGACACATTACTGAAATGTAAACACTGCACTAGCCACCTATGACATCTACTGACTACTTTTATGATCCATTTATCACAAAGCAAACAAACACCTTATAGCACTTAAGAAAGTTAGACCCAAGTAGCCTTTTAGTTCTAGTCCACTGTCGTCACTCAGTTTTTGAAAAACTGAGGCCCATACAGTTATATGACTCTCCCATGGACGTTAATAATTAGAGGAGGTCTGAGGATACAATTCATGTCTCCTGTGGCTTATCCCAGAGCTTATTCAAGCATAATGCAGGGCATGTCTCTAAACTTTACTGAGTTCTTCATATAAGATTTCCATTGCATGTTCCTAGCTGGATTACTTCATCTGACAAATGAAAGGAAGTAATGCAAGGTATGGAGCTGTCTTTTAGGTACACAGCAATAGATTAACTAGGACCAAGTTGAACACCAAAGGATTTTAGGGAAACAACATCTTTTGATTCTGGCCATGATAAATTAAAGATAATTATAATGACAATGATAAAAACAATTCACATTTATTCAGAAGATATCATATGTCAAAAACAGTATGAAGCTTGGTATATTATCATTTAATCCTCAAGACAACCAAATGAGATATATACTTTATTATTGCTACTTATAGAATAAGAACCTGAGATTTAGAGAGGTTAGAAATTTGCCTGATTTCACACAGCTATATATGATGTAGCTAGAATTCACACCCACATCTCTGACCCTAGAGTCATGTTGAACTTCTTCATGTTTCTTTTTGCTGTGTGAGACTAATAGTTAGCCTGGAATTAATTTGGAGATTCATGGGGGCCTACACTAGGATCCTGTTCTGGTTTGGCCCATGCTACTTTGGGTAGTTTAGAGCCGGCCACAGGCTGGATCAGACTCAAACAGCACTAAGGTTTGAGATTATAAATAACCTTTTATCTTCTTTCCAGAGGCTCAATTATTCCTAGACAAGTGCCAAAGTTAGTTCCCCCTTCTGAGGCTCATATGAACTTTCATCTACCAATTTCAGAATCTATTTGACAATATATATCAGAGTGCAAATATACCTTTTGAGTAATTTGATAATGAAGTGAAGTTTAGTTTTTAATAGCTTTGTTAAAAAGATGGAGACTTTTGAAAAAGTTGATAAACTATGTAATGTTTTCAAACTGCCAGTTAACTAATATATCATTAAATTATGGTTTATAATATCATTTCCATAATTGTGTTCTTTGGGTCTTAGGACCTCTAAAATATCAGGAAATAAAATATTTACATAATGGATTCCAATTGGTAAAAATCCTATATATGATTAACTTAGCATCACTAGAACACTTAGTTGAGAAAAATTCTCTTTCTTTTAAGTTATAAGTTATGTCATTCTCTCAACTTCTAAACTATTATATAATTTCAGAATTCAGGAGAAAGATTATTGTACTATGTATGCCATTCTTTCCTTACTATTAGTTCAACCATATTTCACTGCTTCTGTAACAAACCTACGTGAGGGTTTGATTTCAAAACTTAATGCAAAAATAGTTATTTATGTCACACAATGCACTGCTTTGACAAAATCTATAGCACATGAGGACTCATTGTTGCTTTCAAGTAAAAAGATAAATAATTCACAGCTACACTACTTAACAACCATGTATACAGGTTATATCGTCTAGAGCAACAGATAATGAAATTAGGAGAAAGAAGAGTTTCAACTTGCACTTCCATTATCTTACCAAAAGTAAGAGCAGCTACTCTGTCCTAAGTGGAGATGACTTGTGTGTGGGAAAAGGAGAGTAAAGCACTAGGTTCAAGTCTAGTTGCTTCCGGGTTATGTTCTCCTGTTCAGGAAAAACGAAAGACCACATAAAGAATATCATTTTCAGATCCAGAAACACCTTTTAAATGCAAAATTAATGAGCCAGCATGTTTGGAGTAGCACCATCATGGTAAAAAGCACAGTTCAATAAAAAGACTGGTGCACAGGCTATTTAAATGCAAGACTGGAAAGTTTTGATTATTATGTGGCACTAGAGGAAAATGCAAAGGCCCTTGGATAAAAGCCTGAAAACCACAATAAGGCAAACTGTTGGCCAAATATGGGGCAAAACCTAGCCAACCATTAAAATGATAGCTAGAACTAACAAAATTGAAAAAAGAGAAAAAAAAGAAAAACAATGAAAGAAAGAATGCCTCCAATTTTCAAGAAATAGAGGGGTAAGGAATATGCTATAAACTCTACCATAACATGAAGTCAGCAAGATCCAGAGTACAAACAACCCAGTTCCTTCAAATAAGTTTCTAGGAACAAAAAGAGATGCCAAAAAAGCTTATTGATTAAAAAAGAAATATAAAAATAGAACAACCCATCACAATGTGTATGATTATTGATTATGATTCAAACAACATTAAAAAAATTCTAATGAAATAATGGGAAATTTGACACACTCTGGATGTTAGATATTAATAAATTATCACATTTTCAGTGGAATAAGCATATCGTGATTGTGCTTTAAAACTTATTTGGAAATCATATTCAAATATTTGCTGATGAGATGATACAATATTTGAAATTTACTTCTACAGAATATGCTAGAGAGGAATGTAGGTGGGATTGTGGGTAGTATAGGATTCGCCATGAGTTGATTATATTTTGACTGGTCATGGGTATGTGGGGTTTCATTACAATATCCTGTCTACTTTTGTGAATATTCAAGCCTGTCCTTAATAAAGAATTAGAAAAAAAAAACACAGAGCTAGTGCTTT